TTTTAAAATTATAATTCGCGTTATAATATTGAAGTTATTACTATAAATATAAGTATAAAATTATAAATGAACGCCAAGTTTTAACTTAGTAATTAAAACATAAAACTTAAATCCATTTTCAAAATACTCGTAATATAAAATTAAAAATAATATAAAAACAAAATAACATAAGCTAAATATTATTTTAATGTAAATATTTAAAATATTAAATACATATAGGATGATATCGTTGATTTCAAAAATATTTTCTTCGTAAAGGAGTATAACTAAAAATGTTATAGTTTTTACTAATTAATTAATATCACTTCTTACATTAATATCACTTATTACATTAATATCATTTGTACGTATTGTCGATAGATCACAGACTTGTTACAAACTAGCTATCACATAGAAAATAGAATGTAGGGCATACCACCGAAACAATGCCATTACGGAAATTATAGGACTATTTCTTTTTGCTATAAATAAATATAGAGGTATCAAAATTATTTTTGCTTTTCAATTAAAAGTTTCATAATTTCAATCAATGATTTTTGTATCTCCATTTTCTCTTCATGAATTTTCCTTTGTTCTTCTTTACGCTCGATATACCGCTGTGCTTTTAATTTCTCATATTCTTTCCTCTCTTCTTCTCTTTTGGCCATTGCTATGTTCCTATCTTGTCTTATATCATCAATGAAATTCTTCAGGACAGTCTCAACTCTTCGCTTTTTGCTTGGATCTAAAATAGAAATTAATTATTAAAGCATGCAGACAAAGACAAAGAATGTATAAAGAATTGAAATCTTATTGATTTATTATTACTAGATGGCAATGAAGGTGATTCTGTCACATTTGTTGGCTGGACCTTCGCTTGATGCAATCGCAGGTGGCATCACAAAAGCCTTTTTCCCAAAAATTGAGTCCATCACCTTCAAAATTATAATTATGTAAAAGCATTTATTTAGATTATATAAATCAATTATGTAAAAAATTATTTACAAAATTCAAATAGATTACATATAAAATTAACAGTATCAAATTTGTATTTCATTTTCTAATACATTATTTACAGAAATAAGAAACCAATTTACCGAATAAAGGCCCATGTATTCCGACAATTTCCACTCTTTTTATTTTGATCTTATGTTTTTAAATGTTCTTTTAAGATCAGACATCTTTACAGAGCATTGCAACCCAGTTATATTTTCCGTTGGAATTTTCTCCCATTTTTTCTGCTAATTCAGCCCAAATAGTAGCATTTCTTTTAGATCCCGAATTGAAGTCGGATTCTTTCTCCCGATACAATTCTAATAGTAAATATACTGCAGCATCAGACCATACAAATCCTTTTGTATTCGTCGAACAATCATTTTCTTCGGAATCAACATTTTCAGACAATGCTGATGAAGGCTGACTAATTTCTAAAGAACTTGAGAAGTCAATAGAATTATTCTGCTTACTGATTTCTCTATTTACAAGCGATTGCAGCAACTTTTGATCTGTAACAACAGTATTCCTAATATAATTTATATTTACAGCCAATAATTGAATAAATAGAAAAATATAATCCCTTTAAAAATACTTTTGGAAGTGGAAATATTAATTCAAAAACCGAAAACTAATCCAATTGAGTATTTTCACTACTGTCAAAAAGCTTTTTCTGTAAGAAATGATCTACTTGTATTTGTTGTAATCTATATAACCTACAAATATATTCGACTAAATTACTGTTTTAACTTTACCTGTTTGAACTTTATTAATTATTTCCTGAGTAAGAAATAATGTGATGACGCTCTGCGTTTCTTTAAGACTGGGAACTCTAATAATGTCTCTTCCATATCTTCACACTGACATTTTTATGTAAAATTAGAATTCAAAACTTTTCACAATGTCAACAACCGCCATATGCAATTACACAATCGCATAGAACGCATAAGCTGCTACAGCTTGAACTTGAGATAGCTGATGCGTGCGTTATGCGCTGCAGGTGGTGGGGATCTAGGGAATTCTAAGCGCTGTTTATGCGCAAATTGAGTGAAACGGAACGTTTTCATGTCATTCGTGCGCATAATGCGCGAAACGGAACGCAACCAATGTTTTTGTCGCTTAGGATTATCATATTATATCCACTTTTCATTTCAGGTAATTATTCGTCACAAAAAACTCTTCTTTTTCTGCTTTGTAAGCAGTGAAAAGCAGATGTTCAACCGGTTACCAATCGCACGTTCAGACAATTCATGTGAAATCCATTTCCCACATTTCTGTATCTTTTCCATTACGTGCAAACATTCAGAAACTGTTGTAAAGTGCACTCCGAATTGTACTGCAAGTTTACGTACTAATTGCGCCGAGTCTTGATCAAGCAATGCTTGCAATTCGTCGTTCGTTGTGTTCTTAGAGCATCTACTGCGTTCTTTATCGCTTAAATCGAAATCGCCGCTTCTAAACCATTGGAACCATTCTTGGCATGTACGAATCGACACAATACCATCACCACACGCCTCACAAATAAATCTCTGTATATTCAGAAGCATTTTTTTTTTTAATTAAAACAGAACAAAATGCAATTGCAAATATGTGCCTTATCTCCATTCCATTGTAAATTAAAGTAAATATGTCATTAACTAGACATTTAATGTCATAAGAGAATATATTATGATAGGAGAATAATATTAACCAATCCGAGAATCTCTTGACAAAAAGAGCGATATCAATTCGCACGTTGTCTTTTTTTAGTAAGTGAGACCTCTCCACTCCTTGAAGGCTCACTCCAGTATACTATAGAACACAGTATACAATAACACATGCATATAGCCGTCTATCAATATGCGCGGGACTTTCCTTACACCCTATACAAAATACAAATGCCTATATATGCATACTATTCGTCCGTGCGTTCGATTCTTCATGCATATTTTCGCATTTTCCGAAGAAAACATAGATAAAAAATGTTAGAATAACAGGGTGATGATAGAGACAGGCACATTTCGCAAACTGTGTATAATCACTGACCGTGAAAATCGTGTACATAACATTTCAATAATAATATGAATATTAAATATGTATTTTTTCCTCTCTTCCTTCATAAATCCTAATAAATCTTGATCAATAGAATATATTCGACATTAATCATTGCAATTAGCTGTTGTACTATTAATAAAAATAATAATTTTTTTATTCATAACTTATTTTTTATTATCAAAAGTTTCTCATATATACTTTGATATATTACTAAAAATATTAGATCGATTTTACCAATTTAATGAACTCACTATAATTGTATTATTATTGTTATTATTTCTTATTATTATTATTATTATTATTATTATTGTTATTGTTTTTATTGTTGCTACAAAAATTTTTATTTCAAGATTTACTATATTATACTGATTTGTCTTCAACATTCTTTCACGCAATCAACGTTATATAAAATCGACTCTTGAAAAATCGAACGCATGAACGGATAGCACGCGTACATAGACGTTATAATTACTTCTCAAAAATAATAAGTCGAAAAATAATTTTATCATATATGGTTAGATTCGTATTAAAATAACCTTTCGCCATAAAAAAATACAAAATTAAAAAAAATATATATGAAGTGGTGGAGGATTTGCAAAAACAAATTTTTTGTAAATTTTTTTACATTACTATTATTTTTACATTACTATTTTTACATTACTATTATTTATAAAGTACTCTTACAACTATTCAATTTTTATTGGAAACTTTTTGGATCTTTTATAGTTTCGATGATATTCGCCTCGAAATAAAAAAATGAATTTTTTTCCAGGGATTCTTTTATCCCCCTTGAAAATTTTGTATTTTACCCTCTAAAACTCAAAACAGGCACGTATAAAAAAGTACGTGTTTCTTATTTTGGTTTAGAATATAACATATTCAAAATCGGAGGGAGGCACTTCAGTATCCTTTCTTGTTGGCATAATTTAAAGCACAATATGTTATGTAATATATTGGCTGCGTTTAGTGAACACAACAGTTGGACAATTGATCACTGAGCGCTCTTTAAGTATAAAGTGATCAGTGAACAGTTTCCTGAACGACCTAAACTTTATTGACATGCGCAATATGTATGTAAAGGAAAACACAACCTTTATTTAAAAACGACATATACCGCATTATTGTATCGTGCCATCAATCCAGATTGATGTATGGAAGGTTAAGATTAGTTAAATAAATAGAAAAAATATTTTAAATTTAAGTTAATTATTGATATTTATCATTTGTTGATCTGCAGCAGTATTTGTTATATTATACGAAGCATTATTATATTTATATATTTTTATAATATAAATTCTTACATAATATAAATTCTCCATTTTCATAATGAAGTATAAGTCCTGCCAAGCTTACAACACGTTGTGCTCACTGAGTGTATTTGAAAATCTCTCAAAAAAATGGCGTCCGCTCACTGATCAGGCGCGTTCAACGAACATTCCGCCAATAGTTGCACAACTGTTGCGTTCGCTGTACGCACCCATTATTAGGACCGAGCGATGATCCACTTGTCATTGTTTCCGAAAAATCAATACTTCAAAGAGAGAATCATTCTCTATCGACGTGTCGCGGAATATTTCTATGTTCTCAACGCATTGTTAAGAGGGGAGCGATCCTCTCTTTGAAATATTGATTTTATTTCTTTTTAAATTAGAGAAAGAGAGAAGAAATGGAACAAATAAAAGAATTAAGGTGTTTATTATTTTCTTATTATTCTAGATTATTGCTAATGTATATTCATTTCGATGCGCGCATATTTATTACATTATCTTATCGACTCTGCCGATAAATTAGGGTCACTGTATAATTATTAAACATAAATTATTAACGGTATGTACAGATGTAGAGTCCCTATAGTAAGAGGTGAAGGCTTGAACAGAGGTGTCTTCCAACCTATTGGTGTTGACAAAATATGGCGAAAACAATAAGAAGCCTCCAATTTGTACTTTGCGCGGGGTGTTATTCAAGTAGTAAAAATGAAATAATATGATATAAAAAATAAACTTGCTTTTAATAGTTTTATTTACATTTATATATAAAAATATAAAGAGTACAAGTCTATTTAAAAAGTAAATAATAATTAATAATAGCATACCTAGCCATGGTTTTACTAAAAACCTTATTTTTTAATCGTAGAGTTAAAACAATTAGACACGCAACAATTAAGCATTTTCTACAAAATTCATGTAATTTGTAATGAACATTGAATACAGTATTAAAGGTTAGGAATTAATTTTTATGACAACATTCATTATAATATTTATATTTTATATATTTTTTATAACATTGTAAGTTTTTATTTTACTTGTTTATGATATATTTACCTTAATAATATATATATATTATGTATAATGTGTATATCACTGGTCATCCCACTAATCTATATATTTGTTTATGTCCGCCATGTTTTGTTAATTTCCGAATGAAACATTTTCGACATCTTTGCAGTTTATTTGATGGATTTGGAACACTGCTCGATTTAGTTACATGGCAGCCAGCATCTAGAAAAAAAATAAGCTAAACTATCACTGTTCGAATATACTCTCGGACAGTGTAGTATGTTTTCATGCAGGGATGCCAGATCATATATGTGTAGCCACGCTGCAGCACGTGGAGAGGATAGGCTGGCACGCACACTAGCGTGAGCGCTCGTCCATATACGCTCCGCGCTTCGGCCAGCTTCGAGCGGTAAAGGACAGATTAATATTGCTGTCTTCTTCTTTTTCGATTATGCTCGATTCTTCAATGCTACGATTTTCAGATTTCGATTTGCCAAATTGGCGGTGTGACGCACGATGTCGTTATCAATTTACTTTTATGAACTATATACACATAAATAATTATGTTAAAATATACATATATATTTATATACTAATAAACTACTTTATATACTATAGATTTTTAGTATTCGCATTGAATATTGAAACACAGCCTATAATAATCTATAATAAATTAAATTACGACGAGCAATGTCGCATTCACTGAAAAACACCGATTAACTCAATTGAACTTTAATTACTTATAATAGATTGCGGATTATTCCAATAAATATGCGATAAACAAATACGAATAAATATTACAACATATACTTACTGGTCTTTTATCCATGTTTCCTGCTTTTGCGTTTATAATACTATTTAAACACTTAAAACTACATATTGCCCGTTTTGTTAGCAGATAACAATGACCGCTTTTAATAGAAGAAACAGCTTAGCAAATGTTGTACAATTCTTCAATATGATTAGTTCTTGTCCTTAGATTCTCATAGTTCTAAATATATAAACCAAAATCATAGTGAAGATTTTTAAAAGTTGTAAAGTTTTTTATATTGAACGTAATGTGAATCACGCACGTAAATTCAAATTCAACATCAGCTGCATGCTGCATAAAATCTTCAGTAATATCATAATAACCGCAATTATGACCTAAATATTTGAAAAATGTAGAAACAACAATACACATTACGGGTGCATTCGTTTACGCAGTGTTTTGTGCATCCACTGCTTTCTCATCTGCTTATCATGTGATCAAAATTTATCGAACGGATAACTGCGTGAATAACTGCACAGATCGTACCTTCCAATAGAAATTTTTAATAGAAGAGCCGATTATTTGAATGATAAATAAAGAGACAATTTTACATATAAATTTATATTCGAATAATTAAAATGTAATAAAACTGTTTTATTGTATAAAAGAGAATATTTTATTGATATTAAATTTAATTTATATAAATAATGATATTATAAAAAATATTTAATCTATGAATTTTACTTAAAAGTTAGATATTAATTTTTTGTGAATTATATTTTATTATTCTTATTTCTTCTTATTTTTATTCCTATTTTTTCTTATTTTATTCTTATTTTTTATTCTTATTTTTTCTTATTTTTTTAAATTTAATTTTATTTTTATTTTAATTATA